GGGGGGGGGGGGGGACTTTAAAGGTGATGCTCACTCAAAAGTTTAGAGAGAGCATCAAAGGGGGGAAATGTTGGAAAAAATGCCAAAATAATTTTCTCATAAGCCTGTTACGTCCTTGAAATAATATTTTGTATTTGAAACAATATTTGCTTGTTACGCTCGTCTGGCCTCTAATCACTACTTAGATTTTTGGCTTCTGTAACCAAGCTTAGCTTGCTTATCTGCCTAGACCACATGAATTCTGAAAATGAAACTTACTGCTATGTTAGCCTTGTAAATGTGTTGCTTATAAAAACTTTGTGAGACCTGAGCTCGGAGTCCAGATTTCCAAGCATTAGCTTGTCGGGACCTACCGGCCTAGTAAATCCCTGGCTCTCCAACCTTCCAAGTGTCGGTAACTTCTTGCAAGTCCATTTCCACAACACTCTAATACTTACTACACATGACTATACTCATATTTCCCAAAGGAATTTCTACTTCTTATATCATTTCTTTATATACCTTTTCAAGATTAATCAATTACCTAAAGTGATAGTTACTATTTCCCGCTCTATCTCTTGGCACATAACAATAATTATAAACGCAAATATATCATCAACATTAGTGTATAATCTCAGTCATATGCTATTTCCTCCTAATAAATTATTTTAAATGGTATTAAAACCCCAAATTTTAAATATGTATGTATGTTTGGGAATGTATTATACAGATGAACGTAAATTCACATGCATGTTGAATTTTAGGAAAGGTAAATAAGAAAACTCTTTCAGGAGAAATGACTTGGGCAAATTTAAATAGATAAAGTTTTGCTGCTACTTCCAAATACTTAAAATATGCTTAACTGCTTATAAAATATTAGCAAGGAGAAGTGAACCACTTTAAGTAGATACATAAGTTATTTTAAAATTACATTATCTGTACATAATTTTTTATTTTCAATAATAAAATATAACAATAATATTTATGGACTACTAATGTGTACCAGGCACTTTGCTACACACTTTAAATAAATTACCCCTATTGATTTTCACAAGTGTATTTCATAGGATGGTGTAACTAATATATTTATTTCTCAAACAACCAAAGATGGAAATAAGTGACTAAACTTTTGTCATATAGCTAATATAATAACAGAAGAGCTAAAATTTGAAAACAGCTAATATGGGGATTTGGCCTGTCTATATACTGCTAAATTTCCCCAAATAGTTTGTTTTCCTGTTGTTTATTAAAATAGTTTGTTAATATATACTTATGCTATTTTACAATGTTTCTTTGCCTAAAAACACCTTCTCTTAAAAATTTAGTTTTTTTATTTTTCAAAAATTAAATATGAGCCAAAACTTGCCAAAGGATTAAATCTTTGTATTAATGGAATCTGGATCAGCAGGATGTTCTCTACTTAGATTACTTAATATAGACAAGAATTAGCAAAGTTTAGGTACTTAGATCACCAATAATATGACTAAGAAACTCCAAGGTGTCTACTGAATAATAACAATAATGGTTATATATTAGGAATACACATTTGTACTATTGGATTAGTTAAGTTAAATCAAAGATGTTGATAATCTCCAACGTTTTTATGACAATACAGCAAAATTTATTTCTCCCTTAACTGAAATCAAAAGTAGGCACTTCTGTCAGTGGCAGAAGTGGCAGACATGGGACATCATTCGCATAGTTATTTGGGAATGGAGAAATTCAGAATTTCTGATATCTTCAGCATGTGGTCCCCAAAGTTTTTACCAACATCCAGCCGCCAAATAAAGGAATAAAGAAATTGTATCCATAATTTAACATCTAAAAATAGATTGACGTTTCTGATACTTACCTTTCACAGGGAGAACAAGTCATCCTACTTAAAAATAAGGTGCAATAAACGTAGTCCTTGGTTGGTTCAATACTTTGAGGTAAAACTTTACTCCATGGAAGGGGACACAGACCTTTTCTCAATACTAAGCTGCCTCTGCCAGAAGGAAAATGCAGACACCTAGACATCCGTAAGCCAAATAAAGTGACTTGAAGATGCTTATAATCTAAATATACTAGTTTGGTTTGATACAGGCCTTTGGTCAAAACACAAAATATTGGCGGTGAATAGAATCTGGCAACATAGAAGTTGAATAAACTGTTCAGTGCAAGACTTGAAACAGTATTTGCCTGGCTTATCCAGTCATGACAGTGGTATTCATAATTACCTGGTTACAGAAAAAAAAAGGCATCAGTGGTACTCTAGAGAACAGGTTTACTGTTGCACGATGTCCTTGTTATTTTGCACATCAATCCCTAGTGATTGCCTAACTGGAAATATATGTTACAGGCAGCTGATGAAACTGCCAAAGTGATGAAGGAGCAAAGTGCTCAGTGTTTCCAATGATGTGCTGAAGAGATACACAGCCAAACGGGAATTAAGGTAGCTCTACATCATTAATACAAATCAAGTGATTAAAAATAGTTTCATTTTTTACAGCATGAGGTTCTACTGTAAACCATAACTAATTTGCAAAGTTTTAATTTTCAAAGTATTTTATGGATTTTAAACTTCTTGTGCTTCTAAATTGGGTGAAATTAAACACATACACCAATCTAACATATCTCCAAAATAATTGTAAACTCTGAAAATGAAAAAGGGTTTACTAATAATGTATTTATATTTGTGTTCTTTCTGTAATGGTTCAATTATTTTTATAAAAGAATTTATTATTTGTACCCAACAGACATTGAACAGACTTTTAACAGACATTGCTGAATGTAGTATAAAAAATGACCTGCAGGTATAAAAAAAATTAACACCTTTTTTTTTTTGTTATTGTCTAAGTGAGAGACCTCATAACCCATGTCAAAAAATAAAACAGAAAAAAACAGAGAGGTAGTACACAATTTTTTCCGTGGTATAAAAATTTTGATTAACAGTGACAAATGAAAGAAGAAATAAAAGTTTTAAGCAAAGGAGGTGTAAGATTACCAGAAGGAAGTTTACTGAACATGCGGCAACCATTTTCTTCAGAAAAGCAGTGTGCATTGGAGACAGTCTGCAACGTAGATGACAGTAAACTAGCAAATATGTTCTTTCCAGTCTGGTGTATTAATAATCACAGCACTGAAAGAGTGAAACTGAAGATTCATTAAATTACGTTATTTCCTATATTTATGTAATTGTAAGGGACAATAGAAAGGTAAAAATTATGCATTAACTATAAAAGTAAATGTATTACTAGTGAAGTTATCAAAAATTTTCCTCTTGATTTTTGAAGTAAACGTTTTGACTGGAAAATAGCTTACTGTTATGAAAATTGATCGGAGAAATATGAAATGTGAATATATAGTAATGTGACAAAACATTAATTACTACTGCATAATTATAATTATGTCTATGTTTAGACTCTATAACGACAAAAACATTATTCTTAAGTAAAAATAATATTCTAGATTACGTGTCCACTGGAATTTTCATGAGGCTGGTTTAATTATTGTATCCATCAAATAAGCATGCTCTTGATTCAGCAAAGCCTGTCTTTTTCTTTTTCTTCTTCCAGCAATACAAATTCACAGTGTCCATCACATACAGATTTCCAACTTGGAGCCTCAATCTTTAACCCAAAGACTTGGAAATTTATATCTGTGCATATGCTACCTTAATTTTTAAGATTTTTATTATTATTTTTTTTTATTTCTAAGCATATAGCTCAGAAAATCATCTTTCTTTTTCTGATACTGATTTTTTTTAATAGAACAAGATCTTTATTACAAAATCGACTTTGCATTATGTATTAATTTAAAATTATTTTTGCTACCCAAGACAATATTTAAATTGGCGCCAGTATCCTTATCAATGACTAACCTAATTTCTCCTTTTATAACTTATGATTATTCCATAGAAATTAAGTAATTTATCAAAGGCCATTTAGTTTACTCCAGAATTATGGTAATGGTCCAGATTTGCATTTATTTTATTTTTTTAAATCAAATTTCTGATTTATACCTACAATGCAAACCACATGAGTCTACAATTGAGTGACATTAAGTATACGTATACAGTCAGTAATTACCAACCCAGTCAAGATATAGAACATACCCAGCAACAATAAATGTTCCTTTCTACCACTTTGTATTTGATCTTACCATGCTCCTCACCCCAGGCAATCACTGCTTTGGTTCTATCATTGTAGATTAGGTTTATATTACCTGGAGTTACATATTTATGGAATAGCATAAATTACAGGGTTACAAATAATTAAATTTATATCATTGTGTGTTTCATAGGTTTGTTCCTTTTTGTTTCTGAGTAGCATCCCATTGGATGAATATACCAAAATTTGTTTCAGTTTTGGATTGTTATAAAAATAAATGCTATAAGTGTTTATGTAAAAGTACCTTTGTGTGGTCATGTGTTTTTTATTTTGCTTTAGTAAATGCCTCAGAGTGAGGTTTCTCAAAATGATAAACTTTTTTTTTTTTTTTTGTCTTTTGTCTTTTTCCGTGTCCGGCAACGGATCGCAACCCTCAGTGTTGCCCCCGTACCGGACCAGGGACCGGCAACGGGATTGCAAACCTCGGCGTTGCTCCCGTGCCTCGCTCAGCCAGTGAGCGGGAGCCGGTCCGTATGTGGGATCCGAACCCTCGGGCGGGAGCGCCACCGCGCTTCCCAAGCGGCGCACTACCCAGTGCGCCACCGGGCCGGCCCCTATTTCCAGGTTTACTTTACATTCTTTCATCAAAATGTTTGAACTTAAAATGAAGTAATGTGTGTTATTACTTCTAAATGAATATAATCATGTCCCCGGCAGGAGCTTTTTTTTCCTTGTAGGGAATATTAATGAACTATTTGCAATGAATTATTCTATAAAAAATACTGTAGATTGAGATTTTATGTTTTTAAATCATATATAAACTTTGTTTACGAAGTTTAATGAATCCTCATTATTAAATTAAAATCGTTTTCTTATTTTCCTAGGATTCTGACACTTCATGATGTCATTATCTAGAGCAATAATGAATATTGGCCTGTTTTGGATTGGTTGATGACCTTTGGAAATGATCCAATAACATCCACTACAGAGAAGCTAAATATACTCCATTTGGAGTGAACAGCCCAGACTGTTAACAGAATTTTCAAGATGACAGATCCAATGATGGACTTTTTTGATGATGCCAATCTTTTTGGTGAGACCTTAGAAGGTTTGTCAGATGATGCATTTGTACAACCAGGACCTGTTTCACTAGTCGATGAATTGAACTTGGGTGCAGAATTTGAACCTTTGCACATAGATTCACTGAACCATGTTCAGGGTACTCCAACACATCAGAAGATGACTGATTTTGAACAGTTAAATCAATTCGATTCAATGAAATTTCACCAGGTTAATCAGTCCTTTGGTAGCCCACCTGAACATGTCTTATCTCCACACTCTCAATTTAATTGTTCTCCGATCCACCCCCAAAACCAACCAAATGGTTTGTTTCCAGATGTAGCAGATGGCAGTCCAATGTGGGGCCATCAGACAGCTACTAGCATTTCAAATCAAAATGGATCTCCTTTTCATCAGCAAGGACATTCACATTCTATTCATCAAAATAAAAGCTTTGTGGCACACCATGACTTTGCCTTATTTCAGGCCAATGAACAGCAAACACAGTGCTCTTCACTACGCTCACAACAGAACAGAAATAATCTCAACCCAGGGCAAAATTCTCTTAGCCAGTCTAAAAATTTTATGGATATTAATGTTTCTGGTCCACACAGAGTCAGTGTTAACCAACCACCACAAATTACTAACGCATCTACTTCACAACAGTCTCTTTCGATGCAGCAGTTTTCTCAGACGTCAAATCCTTCAGCACATTTCCTTAAGTGTAGCAGTCATCAAGAAGGAAATTTTAATGGACCTTCTCCAAATATGACTTCTTGTTCTGTCAGTATTTCACAGCAGTTTTCTTCACATTATTCCTTTTCCAGTAATCATATATCACCAAACAGTCTCCTTCAGTCTTCTGCAGTTCTTGCACCTAATCATACAAATCAGACTTTATCTGATTTTACTGGAAGTAATTCCTTTTCACCTCATAGAGGAATCAAGCAAGAACACACCAGGTTAACAGCCTTATTATATCTGATAGTTGCTTTGTATAGCCCCTAGGATTTTCTATAAAAACTAAGACGTTATCAGTGAATAAGACAGTTACTCCTTTCCCATTTGTATGTAAATACAAGTGAGAAATATTCTGTATTTCTACATGTAATTTGAAGGACACTCTTTTCATAAGCACCTTTTGTGAGGTTGAGGGAGTTCCCATCTACTTTTAGTTTGCTGAGATTTATTATCATGCAAGGATGTTTAATTTTTTAAACGCTTTTTTTGTGTCAATCTACATCATCATATGGTCAGATAACATCGACATTGGAATGTTAAACTAATCTGGCAATGCTGTGATGAACCCCACTTGGGGTATTATCCTTTTCTATATTGCTGGATTTTGTTAGCTCACATAATGCTAATGAGGAATATTGGAGTACGGCATTTTTCCCTTATAGTAAAACCTCTTCCCCGCACCCCGCTCCCCTCGCCCCCCAGCTTTCACTGTCCTCATCA